GGTTACAGACTCCGCTAACCCAGAAATAGTACCTCGGGTTAAGAACTTTGCTTCAGGATGAGAACAGAAGTCGTGCTCCAGCGGTGCGGCGGCAGCAGGAGGCCCCATTAGCTAAAGTGGTGCTTCAGGTTAAGAACAGTTTCAGGTTAAGAATGGACCTCCAGAACGAATTAAGTACTTAATCTGAGGTACCACTGTGAATTTCATTTATAAGTCAAATTCTAACTAAATGCCTGTCAGGGCCGGCCCAATACTACTACACTATAGATGTGGGTGGGTGTTAAATAATCCCCCCTTGCCCCCAAAAGGCAAATGGGAAAACTTTGCAAAGAAGCTTAGGCATGTATTCTGCAGTACATGCGCTAAAAGACATTCAATAAGAATTCACTGTCTCCTTACAGTACAGTGGTATACATGCCTCCTTCAGGTGTAAATCTCTTTGTGTTTAATGAATCTCACTCTCGTGTTGTGTTACTCTGTCCCTATGGCAGCCATTTTGTGACTGGCACCCACAGAACTCTCTCAGAATTGGTCCAAAATGGTTGGTGAACCGTGTTGCAAGTATTGAGATTGTTGACAAACAAAGCAGGCATTTTCTCCAAGAGTACATCCCTCCGGCAACTGAAAAATGCCAGCATTGCAGAACATTTCCAGTTGCCTTCTGTATAATTACATAGCACATAAAAAATGCTTTTGCACCATGGATATTGATTCAATGTCCTCTTTTTGACATGTCACAGAATGAAAATATAGCTCCTTCCTTCCAAAAAAACTCCAGCATCACACCAACAAAAAAAACACCTCAGGCAGTGTTTGCATATTATATTAATCTAAACACAATGCATTTCATTGACGTATTCCAGCTCATCAGCTCATTAGATTCCTCATGTTCTAGCAGTGTTTTAAATGAAAGTATATAAAAAAATAGATCACTAGCCTGCAAAATAGAAAGCAAATTAATTCTCATAATGTTTGTGGCTGTTATGACCTTTGCACAACAGCTTTTCAAAGTCATACCTATCGGACTTTTCCATGGACAAAACCAAATATTTGCATGTCCTGAATAAAGGCCCAAATATGCACACACTCTCATATTTCAGACTCTGGTGTTCCTTGACTGCTGAAAGGTGAGGGAGAATTCAGGTGTTGGATTTCCTTTGAAACTCTTCCAACAGGTAACGTTTCGTTCCACCAGTTAGAGCTGACCACCTAGAGATCTCTTAGAAATTCAGACAAGCCAGACGTAAACTTAAAGAAATAAAACACAGTGGGTGGAAATCAGAGGTGCCCATCTGCCAGTAGAACAGACATAATGGGCAGAATGGATTTTTCACTTCTGATTATTCTGCAGAGGTTTTGGGGACCCTCCAGGAGGTGCATTGAGAGCCCCAGGGGAAAAGAAAAAGGGGAAATCCATTTACTGGATATCACCCTTTTATTCCAATTTTACACAAGTTTGGCATATGCTTAGTTTGCTTTCGGCCATGCTTCAAATACACAGAGTGGAAAGAAACTTGCAGTATGTTTATCTACATTACCCAGACTTGTAACCCCAAGCAGAGACAGCCAGAAGACACAAGCAGGAATTACATCAGTAGCCAAAATTCAGTTGGCCTCATGGACTATCTTCTATCTTGAGACTGGCGTCATTGCATGGAATTAACAACCCCATAGTCAGGAATTGTGTCACGTGCAACTTTGTGTTTAGAAAAGCCCAAAGAAGGGAATGCAGCATCTTTCAGTCACACCCGTGGAGCATCATTTTTGTGGAGTTTGGTTTTTGTATTGCAATTTGGCAATGTTCCATGTTGTTTTCAATGGCTCCTCTAGAAAATTGTTTATCCCAGAGTCTGCAGCACCTAGGAAAGACTTAGTCAGCATACAAGTCTGAGACTTACAAGCCAACCTCATGGCTACAGCTGCCCATTTTTTGTATCCCGCCCCCCATTTTTCTGTGTCCCACTCACCCTCTGCTTTGTGTAGCAATTTGCCCAACTGAGAATTATGGAGAACCCAGAAGCTTGCCACATTTTTGTTTTTGGTATTAATATTATTATTAGTCTAAAGGGTATTATTGAGATTTTAGTAAATACTGTCTGTTCTGTACAAATTACTACACCTTTGTTTTATCAGTTCAATATATAAGGAACTCTAGATGTCCTGGCAAAGCGCAACCCCTCCTTTGAGGCACCCTTCCCACAGATGTGGATTCCTACAGCTATTGAGCCAGCTGTCTGCAGAAATAACTGTAGGCAGGAGTGATCCTGTCCTCGTGGCCCAGGTATTGCCACCTGCTCTGCTCCCTGAATCTGGACTGGGGAGGTGAGGTCTTGCTCTCTTAGACACTGCTCTCTATTTCTCCATTGGTACCAAGGCTGTTTCCAGACTGCCAGTATTTTGTGGAAAGGATTTCAGTGCATACCGGAACTTTAGCTTTGTGCGATTAAAGTGGATAAAGTGCAGTGTCACCTTAGCACAACAAATCCCCCTTTTTTTGCGGCTTGGAAAGCAACAAGGAAATGCATTGGAAAGTATGGAACGAACAAATGATTAATGGGAAGATGTGTAAATATCCCACAAGCAAATTGAGAAGAATGCTGATTATAGTATAAACTACCCTCTAAACAAATCAGAACAATTGCTCAATAAAGGCAGGACATAGTCTAATCACCGTATAAGCTTTGTGCAAGCAAATCAAGAAGAATACTACAAATATTTATTGTTAAGCAAGAACCTCCCTCTCCTATAACTAATCGATTTATTGTGTTAGGCTGAAAGCTTCTATTTCACCCACTGCAATCTGTCACTCATGGCTTGTATGCTCTCTCCTCAATTGTTTTCTGTTCCTAGATTTTTTTGGCAGATACTGAAACAAAATGCAGTAAGGCAATCCAATTGCTGGAACAAGTCTTGGGTTGGGGCAACTGGCTAAAATGTTTTACAATGTTTTAAACAGTTCTGACTTTGGTTCCTCTTGTTTTTGTCGGGCTGGGGTCAGTTAAATGTTTAGTTGGGTTGGCATTTATTTTAAATTGGGTATAACTGTAAACTGTTATTATTGTTATTATTGGTTTTTATTGATTTAATTGGTTTGTTTGTTGCCTGTATAGGATATTCTGGCTTTTTAATGTTTGGTGTTTTGTTGTATTTTTATATATGCTATAAGCCACCCAGAGTGGCTGGGGAAACCCAGCCAGATGTGTGGGATATGATAATGATGATGATGTTTCCAACAAATGAATAAAAACCTCTTTCTAGATCTGTGTAGATTCCCCTCCCTTTTTCCATGGATTCGTAGAATTAGGAAGGGAACAGAGGTAATCTCGTCTGGCTACTTTCCAAACCACAATACACTGCAGGGTATTATGCAGAATATGCCAATGAATCCAAAATGGAACAACATGGAAAGATGCATAAATAAAAATGGCATCATGTCACTATTTCATCCGCATTACATTAGATGAAGACCATCCAAAATAATGTCACTTCTAAGCAGAGATTTTCAAGGCTCATTTAACAAACTCAAAAGGCTTCCAACATACATCAGACCCAAAATTAGGCTAGCCTCCTGCTTTACAGGAGGACAGGCCTCTATTTGAAGGACTAACAGAGGACAGTCTTCTAGTTGAAAGAGTTTCCTATTTGGGAGGCTTCCAGGCCAGTTTAAATAGAGCAGCTGAGGTCTTTGGAAGCTGCTCACCAGTAGCTGCACCTGAAAAGCGGACTGAATACATATCGATCTGACCACTTGACACAGGGCAATTTATTGTGGGCTTAGCGCTGCTCATTCACGCAAGCTTTTTGCAGCATTGACATGGTGCTGCAAAGGTAATGGGAAGGTAATGAATTAGCAGCAGCAACAACAACAACGGCATACTATTTCCCCACCCCACCTCGTTCAATACAGGTCTACTATTTCCAAGTTTGCTTGTTTTTTAAAAACAAAAACTTACCATTTTCTGAAGAAATGGTAGCTCTGATTTAAATGAGAAAATTATATGGGACAGCAACCAGTTCTGCAAGTTTGCAACAAAAGCCATCTTTGCACAGCCCTGATTGGCTAGAACCAGTGATAGCACAAAGCCACCACTCCTCCCCATACAAGCTGTGCTAAAAAAAAAACTTGAAGTATGCAGGAGGGAAAAGACAAGTGAGTGAACCAGTATTCTAACTGCTGATTAGTTGCTTTCCAAATACAGTGGAACCTTGGGTTATGTACCATCCTCCTTACAAATGCTTCGGGTAACAAGCTCTGCTAACCCAGAAGTAGATGCCCCTAGTTGCGAACTTTGCCCTGGGATGCGAGCGGAAGTCGCACAGCGGTGGCGCAGCAGCAGCAGCACGCCCCATTAGCAAAAGCATGCTTCATGTTAAGAATGGTTTCGGCTTAAGAACAGACCTCCGGAACAAATTAAGTTCGTAAGTGGTGGTATCACTGTACAAGAGGAAATTGAACTGAACCTTGCAGAGAAACATGCATAGTGACACTTGTTTTTGGTACATCTGTATGCATCTAATTCACTATCTCGACCACTGCAAACCAAGTTTAAGGGAACGTTTAAGGCGATAGTTGCAGGATCCATTTCTGTTGCTTGTCAGATCACTGGAAATCTATGATTTTGGAATTATTATTATTATTATTTTACTAATATACATATTGAGAAAGAATGACACCTAAGTCAATAACCAGCACAAACCAATGCCACTTCAAAACTTACAGAATCCAGGTAGCTCAGATAACAAGATATTGCTTTTGCCCAGTGTGTTTACAACTTAGCTGGAACAAAGCTGCTTTTCCTGAAGCTATGCCTTTCAGGGCTGACTATTCAAGTGCTGCTGAAAATCAGAGACTGGACTGGGAACCTGTGGCCCTCCTTGACCATTGGACATGCTGGCTGGGGCTAATAGGAGTTGAGCCCAACAACATCTGGGTGACTACGGGTTCTCCATCCCTGCCGTAAATGAACTCTGTGCATCTTTTCATTGAGGCAATGCTTTTTAAATGATTGTGCAAACAATATTTATTCTTTTTGTAGCATTCTATTTAACCAAGGGAAATTCATCATTAATGAGTACATTCAGAATGGTGTATGTTATCAAGATAGCCTCATACAACAAATACTGCAGTTCTTTTAAAGCAGCCAAATAGGAAAAGAAGTCATAACAGAGGATTACACAGAGTGAGAGTTGTAAACATCCACCAAGCCTTGTGAATGCTGGATGAAAGGTCTATCAACAAAACAGTTGTTCTATCTATCACTTAATCATCTCCTTAATATTACATCACTGTCACATATTACAACTTCCCATCTTTTCAACATCAACATGTTGTTGTTTTTGTAACAGGAACCATGTAAAACAGATAAGCTGCCCCCAATCCACTTTAATAAATACTTCAACATATGATCAGGGTAATTGAAACCTTATTCTTCTATACTGCTGAACACAAGTGGCACATTGCTTGCAAAACCTTCCAAGTTGGTAGTCTGGTAACTTTGCTTTATCAAGAAGTGCCAGCTTCCCATTCTTTCAGTGCCTAATTAAATATGACCATGTTAATTTTCAATAGTGATTCTGAGTACAAAACCATAAAGATAGTTGTTTTGATTTAATTAACCCAGAATAAAGGATGTTATCTTAAGTCTGTGCCAGCAGTGCTCCATATTTAAAAGTACAGTGTTCCTGGTTTTTGTAGAATGCGCACATTTAGAGTTTGAGTGGATTTTATATGTTGCATGCTGAAATACCATAACCATATTTGTGATAATACAACAAGCAATAACTGCACCCAAGGGCCATTTTTGGTAATTGTGTTGTTGTTTTCCTTGGACTTGGATCTACAAAGGGCCATTTTCCAAGTTTGTACAGAGAAGAAATATTCTGCTCTGTAAATTTCTGTGTTCTGTTGGGTTTTTTAAAGGCTCTGTTCCACCCCTTTTCCTCTGCTTATTTATGTAAACAGGAACCTGGTTAGAACAATGTTTGAGAGAGCAGCATGATTCTGCACTCTGCATTATAATTCATGCCCATAAATCCATGCTGCATTTATTCTATGAAATCCAGGAGGTTACAGTCCAACGCATCCAAGCAAACATCTGGCGCTTCAAGAGAAGTGCTCATTTCTAAAAGATAACAGGACCAGCTCCATCATTAGGAAGAGTGAGGTGGCCACTTCAGGCAGCAGATTCTGTGGGACAGGGGGTGACAGTGACACGTTGGAGGCAGAGATATGTAGGCTGTGTGATCCATCCTACACTTCTTAAACGAGCCAATGTCCAATTGTCAATTCCATACATGGAAATAAGGGGGCCATCTCATCCTTTACCTCAGGCAGCAAAATATCTCTGGCCAGCCCTGCCCACAAAGGAGCTTGAAGTGGAATACGATAAGGACTGCACATACCAACACAACAGCCACCCTAAACAAAATGGCAGACACCAACTGTGCTATCGGTTGCTCTCTGGGCGGAACATCTTCTTGAAGACTGCCACACAGGCAGGGGCAGAGCTGTGCTCCTCCTGTGAGCAGGCGGCATCCTGAGAGGTCGATATCAGCACCGGCTTGTTGAACAGCTCCCGAACCCCCTGACGGAACTTGGGATCCCAAACACTGTAGATGGCCACGTTCCAACAGCTGTTGGAAGTGAGGATCCAGAAGGCGTAAAAGGAGAACTTGCACCACTGGTATCCCACTACTGACCCCACAACAAATACCGCAATGGGGAGGAAGGAAACGGAGAAAGCAAAAGTCAGAATGCCAATGGTCTTGGCCGCGGTAATGTCTGAGAAGGAGACCTGGTTGCTACCGCCCTGTGCCTCTTCTCCCAGTTGCTTCCGTTTCTTGCAGTATTGGTGGACGGCTGCAAAGGTGACGGCATTGATCGCAAAGGTCCCGCTCAAAACTGAGAAGTCAAAGACCGGGTACAGTAGCATGATATTCCAATGGGATTCGGGCGGCTTGTCTGTTGGAAAGGCATAGTTGCACATCTTGCTGCAGGCATTGTACTGGAAGGTGATATCAGGGCTGGAGAGCAAGGGCACCACTGCCAAGCAGCAGCTCATGGCCCAAGAGGCCACAATGAGCCAAATAGTTCTGCGCTTGGTGATCACTGCTTTCCTGTGCAGAGGCTTCAGCACAGCTACACTCCTCTCGACCGAGAGCAGAAAGATGGTGCTGATCGAGACAAAGGTGCAGCCTGCAAAGATGGGCCCAGTGATGAAGCAGGCAGGCTTCTCATATTTATCCATCTCTGGTTCCACCCCCCAGGTCAACCTATTCACCTCCCTGTAAACGGAGTAAGGCACAACAATGAGCCCCACCGCCAAGTCAGCTAGGGCCAAGGAGGCCTTCAGGTAGCCTTGGGAGGTTCTGAATTGCCTGACACGGAAGAAAACCAGGAGGCTCACCAGATTGCCGAGGCTGATGACCACCACCAGGAGGACCATGAGGAACAGCTTGAAGACGTCCCCAGCAGAGGCCTGGCTCCAGTCTGTGCAATTGGGGCTCCTGCCACTGCTGTTTCCCAACATTGACCAGGTTGTATTTCCTTCCTAAGACAAGCAGGGAGCTACAAAAGTTACAGGCTAAGGTTTCTTCACCTCTGAAATTCCATGGGAGGTGCTTCACAGGGTGCTTTCTCCATACTGAATTTCCAGAAGTGGAGTTTGCAAGAAATAGCAGCAAAAACAATTTGAGTGGAAGTCCGGGTCAAACTGCAGCCTATTCACAAATGTAGAATCGACTGCTGTGCCCACAAAGATGTGAAGTGCAGATCCACACAGGAACAAGCTTGAAGTGCCAATCAGGCTCCCACGCAATCTACTGTAATGAGTTCCTTCTCTCCCTCCCCCTCCTCTCTCTCTCTCACACACACAGGAGTCTAACTATAGTAGTGCATAGTTCACACAAGCAAAGGATTATTCAAAGATCATCTGCAAATACTGTGATCTTGCATCACTTTGTTCAAAACACACGCATTGATACTGCAATGTCACACAAACCCTCAGATTTTTGCAGAAGCATCTCTCAGGCACACCTTGCGCGCGCACACACACACAAATATAATAACAGACCCGTCACCTCTTATATGAGAGCCCTTGAAGTATTCAAGTGGTATTTGCCCTGGGATAATACTATGAGAGGTAGGTTGCAGATATCCGACAGACTATCGCTTGCTTCTCCCTCTCTTGAAGAGGAGAACTTTCCGTGCCTAGATCTACGAGAGTTACAGCAGCCTCCAGCGTAGTAAAAGCAAGAAAAGGGCAAGTCTTAACATTCCGCCATAGATTCACATGCTGGCAATTTCTCGCATCGGTGAGAAGTCTTTACGCGGATAATCTGCACAGTCTCCTCCTCAAAACAAAGCAAAAGAACAAAGCAATCCTCGGGCCCTTTCCTGGAGTTGCCATTCAGATGCGCTCCGAAGTGGCTCCGTTCTTCTGGAAGGAACGTGCGCTCGAAAAAACCAGCACAAACTGGGAGACCCATCAGCCTGTAAGGCTCCCTGTTCGCCCGCTCAAGCTTTGCGGCGCTGCGCGCAGATCCGGACTGTTTTCATCCTCCACCTCTCCCCGCATCGCTAGCCCGGCGGCCGCCTCAAAGTTCAACGCACCCTTGGCGAGAATCCCTGCGCCAACTCCGCTGCGGTCCCGTCCTGCGGCAAAGAAGCGGCGCTCCTGGGGTTGCTCTTGAGACCGGCGACACCCTTCCCGCGACAAATAGCCTCTCTTCTGCAACCCGAAAATGTGGTTACCCGAAAATCCATGCAACAGGTTCCTGGAGTTTCCAAAAAGAGGATGCTGCTGGAAACATTCGCCACGCGCCTCCAGATTGAATATGTCCAGCCCTCTCTGCTCTCCAGTCCTTCGGCTGCTCAACCAAAACTAACCCAGTTTCCAGGTCTTCTTGCGTAGCTGCTTTTGGCGACGCCTCCCGCCTCCGGGGACTGGGTTACGGACGGCTCTTGTCCCATCGGGCGCTCCCTGCTTTTCTCACCTAAGAGAGCAAAAGGCGAGGGGGACTGCAGACTGGAGACGCGCGAAACAAGACTGCCGAGATTCTGGGCGAGATTATTTGCAGTGCTGGGGGCGTTGCTTAGATTTCCCCCGCACTCGCCGGCTCCAGTTTGGGCAGAGGGGGGTGTGCGAGGGGAATGGGTGTTGCTCCACACATCAGGGTCAGATTCTTCTGGGAGCGCGTGCGTGCGGGTGCTCCTAAGGGCGTGCCCTAACCCTCCGTTATGGAGGGTTGTCGCTTTCATCCTACGATCGATCACCTGTTTCCCATTATTATTATTATTATTATTATTATTATTATTATTATTATTATTATATTTCCCCATAACAATTCGTTGGACAAAAGAAACCTCTCGAAGACCAGTCGAATGGGCGTTTTCCCTGCACCGCTTTTTAATACCGGACCAGTTCCATACATTCGCGAAATTTATTGCTAATGCTAAACCCCTTTTGTCATAAACATTGCTACGTCTCTCCCTCCCTTCCCAAATTGCCCTTCAGAGAGAACTTAAGAGACGTTTCTCCATACACAGTGGTCACGTGGGGGGGCGGAATAGAGGGGCAGAATCCTAGAATCCTAGAATCGGAAGAGACCCCAAGGGTCATCTAGTCCAACCCCCTGCGATGCAGGAATCTCAGCTGAAACATCCATGGCAGATGGGCCAAGGTGCACAGGTGAGTGCCTGTTTGTCCCATCCTCAGATTTCTAAGGAAAATTGATGATGTGGTGGCACCCCTGTGTCCAGCCTTCTCTTGGGTGGAGTCCTTTCTTTGAAGGGGTGTCCTGCATGTGTTGTCTTGGTCTGTTCTCATGTAGAAATTCACTGCAAGGTGAGTTGGTGGTTAACGGATTTTATCTCCAATGTGGCCTGGGTGCCTGCATTGAGTAGAATCCAACCTCTCCTGCCAGGCCACATCTTTAAGCAAAGGATCATAACTCAGTGGTAGAGCAGCTGCTTGACATACAGAAGGTCCCAGGTTGAATTGCCAGCATCTCCTGGTAGGAATGAGAGAACCCTCTGCCTGAAACACTGGGGAGCTGCTGGATAATCACAGCAGGTAATCCTGAGCTAGTGAGCCAGTGTAAGTCAGTTTCCAGTGTTCTCATAGCTCTCCAGGAGCCAGCCTCCTGAGTCATAGCTGCTTCTCTCAAAGGAGCCACATGCCAGATATTTAGCTAATAACACATACATTACATCCCCCCATCTACCAGTAAAACATGAAATGAAAATATCCCTAGATGTTTACAGCAAGGAAGCAGATACAGGGCTAAATCATTGCTTTCTACTGTGCAACACAGTCCTCCCATCCTTTGGGTTTGAATTTCCTTCCATACATTGAATAAGTGTTGCTTTCACTTGCTGGTCTTCTGGTCTACAAGCACGTTTTTACCTCTGACATGAAAAGTGGAGGTGTTTTGGGTGGGTGGGTGGGTGGGTGGGTGGTGGGCATTTTCAGGGCAAGAGCGATGGGTGGGAGGGGTATATTTAACTTTTCCCCCAGTTGCTAGTTTTGCTCCTATTGAGGTAGCAAGAAAACTGCTTGCGTATTTGCAATTTGCAAAGTTAGGCAGGGTCTGGTATGGTGTCAAATAGTTTAAACAAGCCAGAAATTCCCAGAATGATAACAGACACTTCATATTAAAACTAAAAGTTCTCACTGTTTTTCACATTTCTCAACCAACAGAAGCTGTTTCAGTAAAAGATTAGTCCTTGTCCTCATTGTGTCTCTCAAAGAAGTCTATTCATCTCCTGATGGTTAAAATGTGTTAATGATCTGCAGATCCTTCACAAATCCTTCTCTTATAATATTGGCCATCCAGACGTAAATAATCTCTCACAGTAAAAGATAAGTTGCTCACTTTAGATTTCCAACAGAACTTGGTTAAGTGATCATCTATCAAGTGTTTGTGAGTCCTCTCCAAATCCTTCAGAAACAGGAAGTGCAAGCCATCCATTTGGACAGAGAACAGCATGAACTTCAGAGTAACTGACAAGCATGAAATAATAATGTCACAATACTTGGCATCATTTCATCCTGCCTAATTTTTTCACTCTATCCTGGGGGCACCCTAAGGATGAAAAAGCCTGAGAAGGTTTGTCCACTCTGCATTCCCAGCACTGTTATCAACCTTCACTGGAGCCTGAGAGAAGTGTAGTTGGTCTTGAATCAGGGATCTAGCTGTCTGGCTTTGGCCGGACATCCTATTCACTGTGCCTTTATGATGGCTTTTGCTCATGCTGCAGCTGTACATGACCCAGTTTTCCATACTGTTAGCAAAAGTGTTAGGGCAGTCACATTCTTTCATTTCCAATCAGTGCATATCCTGCTTAAGTCCTATAACTATTTATGCCTCAAATGTTCTGGTTTGTTTTTGGGTTTTTTTAAAAAAATAATATTTATTGATTTTCCAACCATTTAAACACAATAAAACAGAAAGACAAAAAAGGAAAAGGAAAAGCAAAAAAAAGGAAAGGAAAGAACATAAGATTAACAAAACAAGACGCAAACCATTTAAAACACAAAACAATTTCGATATCTTAACTTTCATTCCCTTATTTCCACGACCTCCTCACACCTCCCTTTTTGTATTCCACTTCTATTAATTGTTTCAGCAATTCCTTTCCATCTTCCTCTGTTTTCTATCCTATAATTATCTTAACATTTTCTAATCATAGAATCATAGAATCATAGAACTGTAGAGTTGGAAGGGACCCTGAGGATCATCTAGTCCAACCCCCTGCACTAATCTTATATTTCCCTTTAATACTCTATTAATCTATTTATACTTAATTCCTTATAACATTTCTGGTTTGTTAGAAATGTTCTGGTTTGTTTTTGGACCAGTTTCATTGCACTGTAGCCTCTCTAGATAGCAGTACTGTGATAGCAATGGAGAAGCACTGGACACTAGACTAAAGCAGAATAAATCCTCCACTACTATTATTGTGGGAAGGCCATGTTGCAGAGTACACTCACAATAAAATAGCAACCTGTGGGGGGCACAGGGGTGCAAATAGGCACAGCTGGTGGGAAGAGCCACTGTTGAAGGGGCAAAGTGTGAAAGCTTCCCTTCCCATGCCATGGTTTTGGGGGACCCTATACCAGCCATTTTAAAAACTAATTGCTATGTGAGTGACACGTCATGTCCAATTTGACCCTTAGACTGTCCTTTGCCTTTATGTAACCATGGCTTCCCACTTCCACAATACCATACAAACTGAGAAAAAGTCACCTGAAGGACAAGAATTCCACTCCTGTTTTACTGGAAGTCAAATATATGGGCTGTTTACATGGGCATGCCTTAAAATAGTTCAGCAGCTGTTTTGAAAGATGTACAGACATAATTTTGGATGGTGGTTTCTCCTGGTAACGGACCATTATCAAGGCTGGTATATATATAAAAAATAAATTCTCCCAAGATTGTTGATCCAGCCCTGCCAGACCTAAAGTAACATCGGAATCTTTAAATCCTAGAGCAGCCATGATGGAATGAAATGGATATAGTAGTGAAGGGCATGGGGGGAGGAAAATCCAACCTCCGAGAAAACAAGGAAAGCGCTTGTGAGTCAAAAGCGACTCCTTTGAGGTACTTCTTGGGAGGTGGAAATGCTAATCTCCGGGCACAGCTCCTTATGTCACAAAGGCTGCTAGTCCTACTCAGAGTAGACCCAAGGAAATTAATGAATATGACTAACCTGGGTCCATTAATTTCAATGGTTATATAATCTGAGCAAAATGTAGCTGGTTACAACCCCTAGGCCTATTTCTGATCAACATAAGATGTAAATGTCCAGACGTCCAAGTACTTCTTATATATCTTTCCTGTTGTTTTGCTTTCTCCACCTTCCTTCCTCTTCTTAAAAAAAAATATATCTGACAAATGAAGGCAAATAAAGATTTTGGATTGTTCTTCCACCTGCTGTCATGTGTTGCTTTATAATGATGTTTTCAGCCTTACTTAGGTTTCAAAATCTCTCACACAAAATTGTTGTTGTTTAGTCATTTAGTCGTGTCCGACTCTTCGTGACCCCATGGACCAGAGCACGCCAGGCACTCACACAAAGACTATTCAAATAATTCTAGCTATGTTCTCCTTTAGTTCTGTATTTGAAACAGGAAATGTTTGGCTATTGTTTTTGAAACAAGTGTGTGCCCAGGAGAGCTTCTGTACAAGACATCCAATAGGTGGAATGGGTAGACTAGAAAAGGAAAGTTCGTCTGGCTACCTTTGTTGTTGTTGTTTAGTCATTTAGTCGTTTCCAACTCTTCGTGACCCCATGGACCAGAGCACGCCAAGCACTCCTGTCTTCCACTGCCTCCCGCAGTTTGGTCAGACTCATGCTGGTAGCTCCGGGAACACTATCCAACCATCTCATCCTCTGTCGTCCCCTTCTACTTGTGCCCTCCATCTTTCCCAACATCAGGGTCTTTTCCAGGGAGTCTTCTCTTCTCATGAGGTGGCCAAAGTATTGGAGACATAAATTGGCTACCTAGACATAAATTAATGGTTAGACATGTCCTTGCCATGACCCCAATGGAAAAATATCAGCCAGTGGGCATGGGATAGCTTCCCAGAATTCAGTGTGTTTTGAGAAAAAAGGGAATGAAGGGAAATCTTAATGTAAACTATCCTGAAAGGTATCCTGCATTAGGAAAGAAGCTGGTTAGCACAGAAGTTAGTACAGGATTATACTTTCAGCAGTCCTGCATTAAACCTTCTTCCTAAACATACATTCTAATGAAAGTGAGATTTAGTCAGTAGTCGAAGGGCTCATATCCATAGTACTTTTTAAAAGTGCCTAGTTTATTATTACAATTACCTTCCTCTGCTTATTTCAAACACGGTGGCTTTTAACTGTGGGAGCTAAGCACCAGCTTGCACAACCTGCTGTTCAAACCCACACCCACCCACTCACACTCCAGAGTCCTAATGAATCCAAATACACAGCCACCAAAAAAAAGCTTTTAATGGTGTTTGATGTTTTAAGGAGAAACGGATAGCACTGCAGCACAAATGGGAGGAAGAAAAGATTGGAAGACATGTGGAATGGAAAACCACACCTACAACGCTGAGGACTTCTCCCAGAATTCATGCCATGCTGTTGGAAATACAGTACAGTGGTACCTCAGGTTACAAACTTAATTCATTCTGGAGGTCTGTTCTTAACCCAA